TGGTAATGGTTATCGGTGCTTTATTTGCTTATGTTGATAAAGTACCCGTTATAAGTATAACGTATATTTTAACAGAACTTAAGTATGTTCTCACAATTTTATGTCAACAAACATACGCAGTGTGAATAAGTAATGGTTTACATTGCCGAGGGGTAGGACAAATGGTTTTTTCGTACAATTCTGTGTCTGGTGCGATGCTCAGTCAGATGAGGTGAAGTGGGACGCAATTGCTGGATTGTAAAAATAACTCGCTTTCCTGTTATTCTTGTGCTCATCTAGTTCCAAGCTGAACAGAGCATGCAGTTCTGGGAGATTAAATAAACTTACTTGAGTACATACTTACATAATTTATCTATCTTCGTGTCTGTACTCCATGAATAACCATAGTTCGGGGCAAATATTTCCAACCCAAGATCATTGAAACAGAAAGTAAGCAATGCGCTGCCGTTGTACCAACCGGTTATGAAATAAAACTTGGGCTGACTTTGATGAATACCTGGGGGTTGAGGTGTATCCACAGATCACAGAAAGAGTCTCTTTCTATGTTCCGTGGGAGTGTCTTTAGTGGATACTTGTATGTTGTAAAATTCCTTTTTATTTAAGTATCTGTGCTTTGTTATGTTATCTATACTAATATTATAAAGAGGAAAGATTTGATTGTTTGTTTGTTTGTATTGAATCTATACGTTTTATACTTTAAGTCACGACAACATTTTTTTATTGTCTTGATGTTGTAACATTTAATTAAAAAATAGTTCTTTTTAATTAATTCAAAAATATGGTTTGTCCAGGATTTTTTTGGGCAACCCATTTTTTACATATTTTCTAATATACTAAATTCATGAAAAAAAATGTTCCATTCTATTATCAGCTCGATGAAGGTCGATGTAGGTTCGGATCTCCTCTAACACTTTAAAGAGATTTCCAGCGTTGCAGTGACTCATAGTGTATTTCTATTTTACGTCCCGTGGTCAATAGATCTTTATTTTCCTCTTTGTTATACGACGCAAATAACTATAAAAATATGTTTAGCTTCAAGTCCAGTAATTACCAAAGACACCGTTGAGAGATGATAAAAACCAAATCTTTCTAAAAACATGACCTTTTTGTGGATGGGTTTGCATTGGACAGCTACGGCCGGCATTGCCAACCTTTCATCTCATCCGGTGTCGATTAGTTTTTTTTTGTTGTCAGCGGTGCGCAACCGCTATTGGTACCATGTCCCAATTAGGGTTGCCTGATGGCCGGGAATCGCCTGGCTTCTCCCGATATATTGACCAATCTCCCGACTCCCGGCATAACAGCATGTCGTTTATCCTGTTTAAATGTAGACGTGGGCTCGTGCATTTACCGCACCTACTTTTGGCTTAACAGAAGCCCAAGCACGACTTTTTGATAGCTCCGTAACGTATCGCATCGTCAACGTTTCTATGAAAACTAAGCAGCTATCGAACGTTAGAACAAACTAGCTTTTTACATACAAAAATTGACAGTGAAGATACAATACGGAGCTGTCACAAATTCGTGCTTGGGCCACAGGAATCGTTCGGCGCGGGGAGGGGGTGATCCAGACAACAACTCCAATATCCCGATATTATCAAATTTTATATAATCCAGAAATTAAGACTTCTCGATCTGGCAACCCTAGTCCCAGTCCACAGTGAGGCTGCGGCCTAACTGGACTGATTTTATTTTTGACTCTTGGTGAATATGTTGCCATACGAAAGAAACTGAACCAGTTATCTGCTATTCCTACGCGAATAAACGCGCGCGCATATATAAATCACGTGTGCAAATTAAATGTTACTTAATAGTTTTTATGGTCGTGACAATATGACTAACTATAACGAAATCTTGACCTACATTCATTTTGAGTGCATGTACCTTACCTAACTGGATCCACCTGTATAATACTGACATCTATACTCGGACACGTTAGCTTTTGCCAGGGTTCCCAACCGTAGGTTTTTTTTCGTAGGTACGTACTTATGCAGCTAAAAATCTCTCGAAACCCGTAATTTTTTGTAACCCCTTATAACATCGCTGTTTGTCCTTTCCTGAATTTTGTTCTTAATATCTTATGTGGCCATGCTTGTAGTAATATCATTACGGTATTTTAAATTATTGAAATACTTACCGACGATCTTATTTAGTGTAAGTATCATAAATGCGGATTCTATTGGTACAAAATTTTTGGTATGTATCGCATAATAGAACTTCTCAAATAACTACCTATAGAGATTCTGAGTTTATAAACACTTCCAAATTGAAAATGGCGTTAATATATTTAATGTTGCTAAATATCTCAGATTAGGATTTCAATACAAATTAAACCGTTATTTTTGTTAACTAAAATAAATAGTTGATATTGAGGATGTACCTACTTAATATGAGACATATTGAGAGATCTGTTTTTTTACTTCGTACAGATACAAATTTACACAATGTAGGTATCTATGCCTACACAAATATTCAACAAAACAGAATAATTAAATAAGGAATGTTACATATTTGATGCCATTTTATAAAATATATTTGTGTTTTCCCAAGTGTTTAATATTACTAAAGGTTCTACAATTGCAAAACTAAAGAAATTCTTGACACATCATGAATAGTTCTCTTCGCTAATGTCAGTAACTTACAGAGTAGGTAAATAAATACAAACAAAGTAGCTAAAGCATATATAAATGAGACGGCTGCGGCGGGCGGTACCTAACGCACAACCACGAGTTACAAACTAGCACCTAGCAATGACGAGGTAATAAATACTTAATACGGAACAGTTTGTTTTTTATTATTATTTCTCTTTTTTTGGGTTTTTTGTAGTTTTACTTTTTATCGACTTTGCCAGAAATATAATCAAAAACGGTCACAAATCATCATGGATATCTTCAACAATGATGAACATCTATACTTATAATAAATCTGTAGAGAGGTCAATTCTGTACATGAAATATATTTTCAAAATAACTATCAGGGGGTGATTAGTGATCGATACTGATGCCAAAAATGCAATCAGTAAAATTTGTCTGTCTGTCTGTCTGTGTGTATGTTCCTTATAGAAACAAAAACCACTCGACGGATTTTAACCAAACTTGGTACAATTATTCTTCATACTCCTGGGCAGGTTATAGTATACTTTTCATCACGCTACAATCAAAAGCAGCAGAGTAGTGAAGGGAAATGTTGGGAAAACGGGAGAAGTTACTCCATTTTTTAAGCTTCCGTCGCGTGTGCAGCCTTAATGATTAAAGTTACATAGAAATCATGTATGACGAAAATATTCTACATAAAATTGTCTAAAATATATCCCGCAACAGCATATGTCTATCTTTTATGGTTGACTCACAATAACACGTGTATAAATAAAGTCATTGTTTATAGCACAAGCCTGAGAACAAAAACTATAGTTTACACTACAGCTCTACACCGAAGCGAAGCGAGGGCGGGCCACTAGTACATAATAATCTTTTAAAGTTTAAATATGAAATTTCAATTTTTGCACACCGGCAATTCAATCGGGAAAATCAACGCCTACGCTTAAAAATTTGGAGGACTCTACAATCCATATTATATATAGCCATATCCATATAGGCTTTATAAAAATATGAGTTTCGACGTGAGTTTAGCGCACTTTAGACATATCGCTAAAGTTGTCCCGAAGGAAATCAAATATAATGTAATACAAGTCAACCTCCAAAGAAGTAGAAACGCAACAAGCAAACTCATCCTGGTAGCAGTAAGGTCCAAAACAAGTATAGCCATCCAAGAACCCTACACTAGTAATGACGGCGTGGTGAGAGATCACTCGGGCGTCAAAACTATTAAACGAAGGTAAACAAAGCGGCCATATTTGATCGCACCATAAAAATTCACCAATTTCCCAACCTTACTACACAGAATATTGTTATAGTAGAATTAATAAGACCGGAATATGTCAAATCTGACGTAAATGTGTAACTAAAAGTTCTTAAATTTTAAAAAACTCCATTACCTACCTAAAAAGGGAATTTCTCAATTATTCTACTTCCGTTGTTTTCGGTCATAATATACTCGTACGTATTGTGTCATCATCGGCAATACATTACACATCCGCTGCTATGAATAAACTCAATGTTTTTATGAAAATCATGTTGTATAGCAGGCAGAAACTAGGTCAACCTTACACAAATATAATTGAATATGGATAATCCGTACTATTAAAAACAAAAAACTATTGTCCTTTCTGTACATTTCATATGCTTCGTTCGCATTGAAAGACAAAAATCAACATTCATTAAAACAAAATCACGAAGAGTTTGTTTTTAATTAGCAACACGTAAATTAACCGCATATCTACTATGGCTAGGTAGAATGTTCCTCGAAACATAACAACTTCACCAGAATCATTAGAGAACAATGTTTTCATTGTGATGGATGACTAACTTTGTAGCATATTATACTTTATGAACAGGTCAAGGAGTACGCTGATTTATTTCTTGTTATTTAAACAGAATTCAAAATTGTCTTCCACTGTTATTTTTTTTGTAAATACTTAAATTAACGTGGAAATTAATATAAATTAATAATGTTTCTTTTTTTATTTTACTACCTGACACTGTGGTTATGAGGCTTTTTATATTTGTAGCTGAGCTTAAAAGTATACAAAGGTGAGTGTGTGCAAAGGTCAATACATACCAGTAACTACTATTATTCTCATCGACTCTGTAGACTATTAAATTTTTTTCGTTTAGCTTAGGTACATATACCGGGAAGGTTGGAGATCGCTTTTAGCGATAAGACTGCCTTTGCACACATTATTGTTACATGTGTCCGTTGTACCTCTATCCTTTTATATGTGAGCAATATAGTGTTTATTATTATTATATGGGATCTCTTAAATTTAATAATCGTTAGCACCAGTAAATAATCTTGATAATGAAGTTATAATACCTTACAAAATAATTACAAGACATTTTTTATCAAATGTACCCGTAATAATCAAGGTGTTTTTTTTACAGTTAAATCCTGACGTGAACGCTTTCCAGCGTAAATTCGTGAACGAAGTTCGACGATGCGACGAGATGGAACGCAAACTCCGCTACATAGAGGCGGAGGTGCACAAGGACGGTGTACACGTGCCCGAAGTAAAGGAGCCGCCCCGAGCCCCCAACCCAAGGGAGATTATCGACCTTGAGGTGAGTTCGAGAAACAGAATAACGACACAGTTATATATACGACGCAATTGTGGAAGGATCTAGAAGCCGGGGAAATCCGAGACTCATCTGTCACGATGAAATTGATTGCATTCTAAAGGTAGGAGACGTCAGAAGCCGCAAAACTATTGAAAAGAGTAATGAATGTGAATGAAGCGAAAGAATGTGTGTACGGACCGTGCCTAATAGTGCTCCATTCTATCTGCCTACTCCACCTGGGCTGCGTCGTGAATATAAATATGTAGGTGAGTTCCATTCTGTCTTTGGTATAATTCACAAAGTTCGACGATGCGACGAATTGAAATGCAAACTCAGATACACAGAAGCGAAGGTGCACGTGCCCGAAGTGAAGTAGTCGCCTCGTGCCCCCTACCCAAGGGAGATTATCGATCTTGAGGTGAATTCCGGAAACGGAATAACGGGATAGTGGCAGGACGCAGAAGCCGAGGAAGGCCAAGTTCCACTAGTCACGATAACATTGATCGCATTCTGAAGGTAGGTGACGGAAGCTACCTAAACCGGCCCGCGTGTAAGAAAAGAATAATAAATGTGGATGAAGCGAAAGATGTGTGTACTAAGAACCTTTTGTGCCTTTAAGCTCTCTATTCTCTCTGATTACCCCACCCGTGAAGATTGATAGATTGAGTGAGCTCCATTCTATCTCTGATAAATTGTGATGTTGAGACAAGTTGAAACACATACTCAGCTACTGGAAAGAGGAGGCGTGCACGTGCTTCCAACACAAGAGAGATGATAATCGACTGTGAGGTAAGTTTGTAGGCTACATTTAGACAAGTGCACTCAATTGCTACATGATCTTGTACCCTCATCTCTATTTCATCATCGGACTACCAGAAAGAGGTAGGGCTTTAACAGACCACAGACCCTACAAAGTAATTTTACATCTTACTAATATGCATGGCTTTTGGAACGCACACGCACGTGGACCGCGATTTCTGCATTTGTTTTAGCTGACTGTTGAAATCGGAAACTTACGCGCAGGCACTTACCACAAAAAAGAGTTTTATTTTTCTTTGGCCAATTTCCTTAGGAAGCAGGACTACAGATAATGGCAAAGTAATATTGTTGGTTTTCAAATTAAGTATAGGTAGGTACCTATTAAATGAATTAGCAAAGGTTCAAAGGGTTTTGAGCTTTATGAAAGACTGGAATCAAACTCTCTAGTCTGTGTGGTTTAAATTTGGTAAATACTCGTATTCCTACGGTAAACTAAGTTAGGTTGCGGGAGATAAGGCCCACCAGGTGAGAGTGGATTATGCGGTACTAGCCATCACGCAAGTATACTCCACTCAACATAGTTGTTAGTTCACTACGCCCTATAAAAGGTAACAATGGTTAAAACGGAACCATCTGCTGCGGAAGTAATTGTTTATCTTGAATGCGCGTACAAGTTTATCTTAATGCTCTAAGTCTTGAACCTATACTCAAACAATTATTCTTAATCCACAGGCACATTTAGAAAAAACCGAGAACGAAATCCTCGAGCTGTCACACAATGCTGTGAACCTGAAACAGAACTACTTGGAACTCACGGAGCTGCGACATGTGCTGGAGAAAACAGAGGCCTTTTTCTTGGCACAGGAAGAGATTGGCATGGACTCTTTGACCAAGTAAATAACTTTAATTATCCATTTCATCTTGGAGACTCGAAGGACCATTTTTATGTCTCTGTTAATTGATTGTTCCACATGTCATCACACACTGGATAACGCTGCATAAATGAACCACTTGCACCAAAAATATGATCATAAATTATTTAATCTTTACGCACATTTTTATAGATTGTCGTCTGATGGTAGGCGGCCGCCATAGCTTATCGTAGTTGGAGACTTCACCAACGCTTTTAATATGTTTGATCACGATATTTTCCTTGCCATCCTGGAATTCTTAAACTTCTCATCAAAGTCACTGGATTGGTTCTCCTCTTACCTTCGTAGCCGTCAACAAGCCGTTCGCATTAAGTAAAATCTTTCGAATTGGACCGATTTATATGCTGGTGTACCCTAAGGTGGCTGAGCTAAAGGAAATCTTGGCTGCTTTTACCATTTCTATGCTGATGACCTACAAGTCTATATTCAGACGACGGCTGAGGGCGTTAATATTGCCATTGAAATGTTGAATCATGACTTGCAAGTTACTTGGTCCGCCGACTTTGTAATTAAGGTGAATCCATCAGAATGTCAGGCCATTATCGTAGGAGGCTCTAAACTAATCATAGGTGTCTCCGGCCTGGCGTGTATTTGACCACGATTCTTCCATTTAGCATAAGTGACAAAAATGTTGGCCTTCAAATGGATTTTTCTCTTAGCTGAACCTCACAAATTGCCGAATTAAGTCCGAAATTTTTCCTAGCCTTAAACTGCAAGGAAAAGTTTACTAGAAAAATTTTTTTCTAGAAAAATTTTTTTCTAGTAAACTTTTCCTTAGATTTAAACATCAAGCAGTTAAATGCTTAAAAATAAATAAAAACATAACTTTAATTGCTATTTCTTCTTTCAAGTGTTTAATACTTGAAAAAGTATTCATTTGATATTGTGGGTTACCTACAATGCAAAGAGATGGCGCTGCCTTGCAGCTTAAGGCTAGGAAAAATTTCGACGCGGCGAATAGGGCCGTGGTAGCATAATGGTCAGTGCATTCGCCCGGATTGCGAAGGGTGCGGGTTCGAGTCCCGTCCGCTGCCTGGTCCGCGTGGATTTTTTTTCTAGTAATTTTCCTTAGATTTAAACATCAAGCAGTTAAATGCTTAAAAATAAATTAAAACATAACATAATATATTTTTTAAGGTATTCTTTGCATGCATGTTTCGGTATTTTAAATAAATATTTATGTACTTACTTTAATTAGTGTATGTGTATGGTATGCAATCACTTTTTATTATTATGGCCGAATACGTGGATTTCTTTATGCCTAAAAGTTGACTAGCGGAGAATGCTTTCATGCGCTAAGTCTGCCTTTTAGAATTGTTTTTTAATTGTAGCAGTAAAGATTAAATAAATAAACAGACGCTTCATCTGATAACAGAATGTCATTCACACTATTGTTTATTAGATAGATTTTCCTTACCCTATGAAGTCCAGATCTCGATATCGATAGAAACACTAAACCGACAAAATTATTATTGATTATCGACGATTCAAAAGAGTTGTACAAAAGCTAACAACTCACGGCGTGATTTTATCCCGCGCACGCCGCGACATCTGTTTTATTTCAAAACGCACAAGACCGCAGTTTTCTAAGAGCTCGCAGACTTTGAATTCAGAATGCGCCTTTTGGTCATCCGCATAAAAAGGGACTAAAAGGGTGATCGCGCCCGCACTAGGTGCCGCAAACAACCGCATGCTTTGCGCGCGCAAATCGCGCCTTGAGTTTTGCTTTTACGTTTTACCTACAATAGGGTATTAGACAAGTTTAAGAAAACGATCTCACGTTATTTACAAATGTCTATGGAGTCCATAAAAATATATTAATTATTCTGTTCTTTATTTCTGTGTTTTTTTTTCAATAAAAAAATCACATTAAGTTGCCGCGAAAATGTTTCTCTGGACAATATGGCGTGACGTGACATGACTGTCATTTAAACCGTCCAACGATACAATGTAATGTCACTTCTACCGGAAGTTTACTAGCGTCTGACGTCATTTTAGTCTTCGCCAAACGAGGCATTTTCGGCCACGTGACCATAGAAAAAACCATCGTTCCCATTTAATGTTTTTTTAGAAAATTTATTAATATTTTGTTATTTTGGCATAGTTAAATCGTTGTTGCTTATATTCATATTAAACACAGATGCCAACAATTGATACTGTCAAATAGCCTATTTGACATTTTACGCGACTTGCGGTCCCGCAGTCGTGGCGGGCGCGGTAGTAAATCTCACAGTGAGTTCTTAGCTTAAGCATTCAATTTGAATAAATATATTTATTTTAACTTGAATTATGTTCAGATCGATGTATTTGTTTTGTTCAGATCGTTGATCTCTGACGAGGCGGGACAACAGCAAGCCACCCGTGGCCGTTTAGGTTTCGTGGCCGGAGTGGTTCAACGTGAAAGAGTTCCTGCATTCGAGCGGATGCTGTGGCGCATATCTCGCGGCAACGTATTCCTGCGACGCACTGACTTGGACAAACCATTGGAAGACCCTGCTACTGTGAGTGTACTGATATTAAGGATGTAGGAAGGCCAAAGGGGAAGATCTTCCTCCGAGCTGGGTGATGTTGTTACCTCTGGGCCCGCGACCCGTCTGATGTTGGTCGGATTGTATTTACGAATAGAGGCTGTCCCAAAACTTTGCCACATGGAGGAAAGTGCCTTAAATACTGTAGATGGAAAGCTTTCCCGAAAGAATACTTAATTTTTATTTTCAAAACAATACGAACTGTATTTAGGAATTTTAAAAAATCGCCTGTTTGAATCGGGAATCGAACCCGCTGAATGTGGAAATAAATTAACGGTAATTTTTGTGCACCGATCGAAAGAGTCAATCATGTACATTTATTCCTTTCAGTAACATCTATGAAACAACTAAAGTACTTACTATCAAAATGCTGTAATATTGTAAACTTCACCAGGGTAACGAGATATACAAAACGGTGTTCGTAGCGTTCTTCCAAGGCGAGCAATTGAAGTCGCGCATCAAGAAAGTATGCGCCGGATTCCACGCGTCACTGTATCCCTGTCCACCTTCCAATGCCGAAAGACAGGATATGGTCAAAGGAGTTCGGACTAGACTAGAAGACCTCAATATGGTGAGTGAGGATATTCTAAATACAGAAAATGAGTGGATTCTATAAAAATCTTCTACTTCGATTTTAGCACCTGCATATCAACAATTAAGAATGCATTTGAAATATCTTGTACTGCGAACAGGCTGCAAAGATTTCAGACTGAAATAAGCTTTACCCGTTTTTATTTTATTTTTATTGTTACTATAAACTATGCTTTATAAATAAATACGAAGTTAAAAAACTATTCACTACATTCAAGTCCCAACTTCCGGGCATCGATTCTCGATTCAACAAAGAATTAAGACTTTTCGATGATGATAATTCCTTTACAAAGTCGAGATTTCGGTGCATTTCAGAAATTTTAACACCATATTAAACCAATGGAGTATAAAATTTAATTCTTTAAAGTGTTTAAATAGGGGTGATGACTTGGTATAGCAATCGAAATTCTATATAGTCAGTCAGTTAGATTAAAAAAAAATGGACTTTTTTTGTTTTGTCAATCAAGCAATAAATTACAAAGCTAAAGCAAGTCAATATTTGGGAGTGAGGGCTCGTGACGTCGTCACTGCTAAGCAAAAATTGGCTGGCAATTATCACCTGATAGAAGAAAAAAGAGTTAGTCATCATACCTATTGAATACCCGTGCAAAAATATGATAAAAAAATAACAATCAGTAATATTTAGGTGCTGAATCAAACCCGGGACCACCGTCAGCGAGTATTAGTGAGCGTGGCCAAGGAATTAGCCAGTTGGTCCATAATGGTCCGCAAGATGAAGGCAATCTACCACACGCTGAATTTATTCAATATGGACGTCACAAAGAAGTGCTTGATCGGCGAATGCTGGGTCCCTACCGCTGATCTACCAAACGTGCAGAAAGCTTTGGCTGATGGATCTGTAAGTTCAAAGCCTTTTTTCTCTTGTTTTTTTTTGTGTAAAAACAGCTGGTTTATAATGGTCTGCAAGATGAAGGCAATGTACCACCCGCTGATTTTTCACACTTAAAATATCTTCTCATTTTAAGAAATACAGTAAAAAAAATATAAACTATCAGTCCATTTCATAGATTAGATATAGTATGTAAAGCTGGACAGAGTACCTATCGCAAGTGTTCCAAAAGTTTAATTGTGCATGTGTGCGTATCGGTGTTTGATTGTGAGTGATCGTGTCGTTTTGTTAAGATATGCTAAAGCATGTGGTAAACCACAGGATACCATAACACAAACTGAATTGTATAAGCACAATTGCTTTCTTAGTTGCCAAGAATTTCATAATTAACTTTATGACAGTGCGGCTAGATAGGACTCTGTTGGCCCTTGCTGAAAATATATTATTGGACTAAAGTATATCAAGTTGCGTCTCTTTCTAACATTAAGGATTGTTGTTAGGGCATGGTATCTCATTTCCTCACTCTGTCAGTCTTTAAATACTAAGTCTATGGTCCTTTCTATATGTCTAACTATGGTGAACATTGATGAAGGTAATTGTTTTGCGTAGAACGCATGCGGCAGTTCGATCCCGTCGTTCCTGAATTGTATCGAGACGGACGAGGAGCCGCCGACGTTCAACCGCACTAACCGGTTCACACGTGGATTCCAGAACCTAATCGACTCATACGGAGTCGCCACGTATCGCGAGTGCAACCCTGGTAACTATATTTATAAGTTACGAGGAGCCGTCGACGTTCAACCGCACCAATCGGTTGACGCGCGGCTTCCAGAACTTCATCGACTCGTACGGCATAGCCGCGTATCGCGAGTGCAACCCCGGTAACTATACCTATATGTTACGAGGAGCCGTCGACATTCAACCGCACCAACCGGTTGACGCGCGGCTTCCAGAACTTCATCGACTCGTACGGCATAGCCGCGTATCGCGAGTGCAACCCCGGTAACTATACCTATATGTTACGAGGAGCCGTCGACATTCAACCGGACCAACCGGTTGACGCGCGGCTTCCAGAACTTCATCGACTCGTACGGCATAGCCGCGTATCGCGAGTGCAACCCCGGTAACTATACCTATATGTTACGAGGAGCCGTCGACATTCAACCGCAACAACCGGTTGACGCGCGGCTTTCAGAACTTCATCGACTCGTACGGCATAGCCGCGTATCGCGAGTGCAACCCCGGTAACTATACCTATATGTTACGAGGAGTCGTCGACATTCAACCGGACCAACCGGTTGACGCGCGGCTTCCAGAACTTCATCGACTCGTACGGCATAGCCGCGTATCGCGAGTGCAACCTCGGTAACTATACCTATATGTTACGAGGAGTCGTCGACATTCAACCGCACCAACCGGTTCACGCGCGGCTTCCAGAACCTCATCTGCATATAACGCCGTGCGAGTCGATACTCGTACGGCGTCGCCACGTATCGCGACTGTAATCCCGGTAACTATATACCTACATATAATAATAATTTAAGATCGCAGGCCCGCTATACCTCACTTATTTTTTGATGGACTGTAAACCTTAGATGAATATCAGGTCTCAGACTGTAAGTAAATTTAAATTTAAAAAAAAATATGCTTCCAAATTTTAAAGTGTTTGGTAATGAATACTGCCGATAGAAAATGTCTGGTACAATTAATTTATGAATGATATTATTATAAATGATATTTAGACATTCTATACATAATAAGAAAATTAATTAATTATTGTGAATTGGCATCCTTTACATTATTTAAAAGATAACTTTAATGAAACTGTATTAAAAAGGTACTCAATTACCACGAGCGCGCTCTTTCTCACAGTGGCAATTTAAATAAGCTTAGGTTAGTTTTGGCTCCTATGATTTATCGGGCAGCTCACAAAATATAATTTTAGCCCCATTTAGTAGGATGACAGAATGAGCCTGGTGTATTCATTTCAAATTGTTTACAAAATTCTCTACAACATACGTAGGGGAGGGGGGGGGGGGGCATGATGGGGTAGCAGTAGAATGGAAATAACAAAATTGCAGCACAATCACTATGTTTATTACTCTCATTAATTTATGGCACGTTAAGTCATTAATCTAACTATGATTTGGTACAGTCTTTGGAGAATCAACGTATCACATATTTTTATAATTAATAATTAATAGGAACATTATGAAAAACCATGGGGCATGATGGGGAAGGCTATTCGTTCTCACAAAACAAGCAAATGTGTATTTCTTCCAGATCTTCATCGTCCACGCCAGCACAAGCGTTGTGATATGATATGCTAGACGTCTCAGTTCGGTAGTTGTTAGTCCAAAAAGACGCTCTTCCATATATTTCAGATATGCTTCTAATTCACCTTTTCCTTAGATGTAAATATAGATTTTTTGGGGCCTAAGGGTAAACCAATAGTAACTTCACCCCCTTCCTTCATTTTCTTAACATATCGCTCTAAAGTAGTCTGAGGTACTGCATATGCAGAAGCAGCTTTTTTGTATCCCATCTCTTTGCTCAAAACTTTATCTACAGCTATTTTCAAAGAATTTATCGACCACTCCCCTCTTTTGGTTTTTTTCTTATAAGTACGTACCATGATTTTACCTAAAAAAGAATAAATTTATGTTATTTATTAAGAAACTTAAATGAACCTAAACCCGCAACCCCATTTTGCCCCAATGTCCCATCATACCCCACACCCAATACCCCATCTTGCCTCATAAGGCCTCTCTGAACCGAAAAAAAAAATCAAATAAAATGTTTAACGGATTCCTACAAACAACATACCATATCAAAATACATAACACTAGTAACCAAAACTCAAAAAGACATAAATGGGGTGAACATAATTACCTTAAAAAAATGATGTTTCGACTTACAAAAAATTAGATCGACGAAACGCTAAACCTGTTCTCCGTTTGTTAACAAAAGACGCGTGCATTCCCGTTCACAGTTTCTCTCGCACTAACCGTTGGTTGAATGAGGCTTCCTATCCTATTGGCTTACTGTTTTATATTCACAGACGTCTAGTTTCTTCTATGTGTGCGGTACCCCATCTTACCTCGCTACCCCGTCATGCCCCCCCTTCCCCTAAAAATTAGTCCTCAGACTGTAAGTAAAGTGATTTCGCAGTATTACAATTCGGCTTTTTTCATAGAAGATTATCACCTTATATTGATATCATTTTATTCTTTTCCAAAATCCATTTTTAAATATAGGTAGGTTTAAATCAAATTATCTCAGGATTTACAGTTACTTGAGCTCATCATGCTTTAATAACAATAAAACCCAAGATTTTTGATAATTTTATTGTTTCACCCTGGCAAAATTCTTGAGCCATGGACAAGGAAGCCGCATTAGCAATATTACATACGAAAACGTCAACTGCGCAATTTGATTTAGTCTGTGGTTTTGCTCAAAAAGTTTGCCGTTACCGTTATGTTTGAATTTCTTGTCGCTTTTAAATAAAAATAAAATAATAGCATGTTATTTCTTCTTTCAAACAGCTCTATATACGATCATAACGTTCCCGTTCTTGTTCGCTGTGATGTTCGGTGACTTCGGTCACGGTATGATAATGGCGCTCTTCGGCGGTTGGATGGTGGCCAAAGAAGTTAAACTCGCCGAAAAAAAGTCTAGCAACGAAATCTGGAACATTTTCTTCGCCGGCCGCTACATCATCCTCCTCATGGGCTGCTTTTCTATGTACACTGGACTGATTTACAACGATATATTCTCCAAGTCTATGAACATCTTTGGGTCGGCGTGGTACGTGCCATACGATAATGAGACGTTGAATAACAACGCTGCGCTCACTTTGGACCCTAAGGACTCGTACGTAGACGTCCCGTATTTCATGGGCATTGATCCTATTTGGCAGGTAAGTTGACACTTTTATTTATGACTTATTATTAGGATAGAATTATTTATTTCCCGTACAAATTTTTATCCCCATATTTCATACCCATTACAATACATTAAAAACGGTTTAGGAATAAGGGTGTGAAAGCGCAACAAACAAAAAGATATATTTACGCTTGATGAAATTATTATTGATCTATTTGACTTTTTTTAAACTGTATAAGTATGAATTTGTAAAGCTTCAGAATCGCGCAGGTAGTTCATCCACATAAAAGTTGTTAAGACAAAAAAGAACTTGGTCCCTGATTAAGCAGAGCTTGTACTAATTGAATGTTAACTTCGATGTTTCACGTTTCAGACGGCTGATAACAAGATTATTTTCCTGAACTCTTACAAAATGAAGCTGTCCATTATTTTCGGTGTTATCCACATGATCTTCGGTGTCTGCATGAGCGTCGTCAACTACAAGTAAGATTAAGTTTAAACTTATATTCTGTTCCACGGAACTGATTATCTATTTATTATCGGAAAACTTACATTTATTATCCGAATATCGTAATGGAGCGGTTTGCAAGTCTGTCGTAAATTTTATAATATTATGTTCTTAAATCTATTCAAACTTGTACACTGATAACTTTATGTTCAATATATATTTAATTTTACTTTTCAGCTTCTTCAAGCGTCGCTACTCCATCTTTCTGGAATTCATCCCACAGATTGTGTTCCTCTGCCTGCTCTTCTTGTACATGGTATTCATGATGTTCTACAAATGGGTCGCTTATAGTACTTTCTCTAAAGGTATGTTTACTAACGTATACATAATTTTTCACAACTAAACATTATCCCAATGTGTATACTTGATTTTCTTGTGATTTAAAAGTATTTTACTGTCTGAAAACTAAATGGTTATTTTTTAACCTTAGTGTTGTTACCTGGGTGGTCGGCCGAAATGAGATCTTTTGAATTCTTTTATCAAAAAGTAAGAGTAGAATTCTATAATAATTGTCTTTTGCAAAATAGTATATACCTAGATATTCGGTTCTTCTGGCTCTTAGGTATATGTTAATTTAATTAATTAATTGGTTTCTCTAAACCAGTGGTTCTTCACCTTTAAGTGACGAGGGACCATATTATGCCAAATTTTTGACTGGCCACGGACCCCCCCCCCCCCCCCCTCCGTCTCTAGAATTTATTAACTGATCAGCGTTCTTACTAATGCAATATTATTTTTAATGACTTCGCGGTCCACTTCGGGTGCTTCCAAGGACCACAGGTTTTAAACCACTGCACTAAACAAAGCTGGGTCCCCAAACAGCGACCTTTATCGACGATGACTCGCTAGCGATTTATAACTTTTGGGTCTACATTGTACATACCGGTGACCTGTTTTGCTTGGACACGATTTAATGTGTATAGAAAGATGTCGAACGTTACTTGCAATCGTTGGCATAAATGGGAAAATTATGGTCATTGTATTGTTAATGCGCTATTTAAAAAAATAGCTTTCAGCACTTCTTGTTTATATAAATCACTCCATGAGCAAAATATGCTTAAAAAGAATCACGAAAGTTTATGACATAAAAATAAATAGTGTTGACATTGTGGGTTACCTACAATGCGAAGAGATGGCACTGCCTTGCAGCTAAAGAATGGCTAGAACAATTTCGACGCGGCCATCAGGGCCGCGGTAACATAATTGGTCAGTGCATTCGCCCGGATAGCGAAGGGTGCGGGTTCGAGTCCCGTCTGCTGCCTGATCTGCGTGGATTTTATTCTAGTTATATTTTCCTTACATTTAAACATCAAGCAGTTACATGCTTAAAAAAATAATATTATAATAAATAGTGTTGATTTTTTTCACCAATTTTTACTATGTTATTCACAGATGAAGCCTACACCCAAGGCTGCGCACCTTCTGTGCTCATCCTCTTCATCAACATGATGCTGTTCTCCAGCACCGAACCCCCACAAGACTGCAAGGAATTCATGTTTGAAGGGCAAGGAACTATACAGCGAGTGTTCGTACTGATCGCATTGTGCTGCATCCCAGTTATGTTGCTAGGGAAACCGTTGTACCTATTGAGCGCTTCCAAGAAGAAGAATCAACACAAGGTGTGTGAATTTTACTACTCAGTTATAAATAATAATAAATAAATAAATATTTCCAACACTCATACCAATTAGCCTAGCCCCAAAGTAAGCACTGTAAGGCTTGTGTTATAGGATACTAGGGTAACGGATAAAATATATATACAGTACATACATAAGTATGACTGGAGTACAAATGCTCGTATTCATCACACAAACATCTGCCCCACCGGAACTCGAACCCGGGCCTACCCGAAACCCGGCGTACAAATCACTCGGCCACGGAGGTCGAGTTTTCAGTGTTATTAACTTAGGAGGGCTGCAAAGAAATTATACAACGAGTACTGATTGCATTGTGCTCATCCCAGTTATGTTGCTAGGGAAACCAATGTACCTGTTGAGTACTTCGAAGAAGAAACATATTATAATGAAGGTTGTTTACCGTTAGTTCGATCGCCCGTTTTGTTCTAAGTATGACAGACTTAGATATTTTCCCATGAATTTAGCTTAGCTGGGGAAGTTTCAGGGATTGACAGCACCGTAATAGTATTTCATCGTCAAAGTTACTGTGAAAATCAAGCAGCGCCCCTACCGTACGTAAGAACAGACTGGCTCTTTCCATACAAAATTTGACGATGACGATACGATTACGGAGCTAAGTTCGTGGGTATTTATATACTCTTTTGAGTTTCTATATCAAGAATTTACTTGTCTTATCAAATGCATTTTTTTACTTAGGTTACTTTAAGAAAAATATTATCATTTACTATTGTTTTCCTAAAATTTCGAATGAACCTTTCAGCCTGAAAACTCAAACGGCAACGTGAACCAAGGCATAGAAATGCAAGAACAGACGGATATCACCGAAGTAGAGCAGAAACCTCAGTCTAAAGCCGCAGAAAGTCACTCGCACGAAGACGAGCCGTTCAGCGAGATCATGATCCATCAAGCGATCCACACTATCGAATACGTGCTCAGCACTATATCTCACACGGCGTCTTACCTAAGATTGTGGGCGTTGTCACTCGCTCACGCCGGTAAGTAAAAAAAAAACCGGCCAAGTGCGAGTCGGACTTGCGCACCGAGGGTTCCGTACAAACGCAATTTAATACCTCTACGCGTTCAAGAGAAAAGAGGTAGTAACTTAAAAAAATTCAAAAATATATTTTATTATATGATGTAACTAAAAATTTAGGGTTTTCGATTTTTCCTTTATCTGTACTATAAGACGTTACTTCTTACCAAATTTCAAGATTCTAAGTTCACGGGAAGTATCCTGTAGGTTTCGATTCCCGTGCGCATTTCGAAAATTTGCAGCGTAAACGGCTGTATCTTTTGATTGCTTTGGCTTAGAAGTTTGATTTTTTCACAGCTCCAAGGGACAGTAGACCTGAGTATCAGATATGAATTTCAGTTTGATACCTCCACACGTTCCTGAGAAAAACGATCTTGACAGACGGATGGACGGACAACAAAGTGATCCTATAAGGGTTCCGTTTTATCCTTTTGAGGTACAGAACCCTAAAAAGACTTGCATAACATGAAGTTATACTGCGACAAGGATGTGGCAAAAATTTACTTTGTAAATGTCATATTTTGTATGTTATTTACGTAGACAGTGGCGCCCTCCCTGAACTGTCACTCACGTTCATAAAGATCCTTACGTTAACGGGCGGGAAGCGGATCACTGTGTAGATCATGCTAGCACTTCACATTGCTATTCGTGTTTGCTATTTGTTACTTTGGCAGCAGTTTGTGCTTATCGTATTTTATAGAGAATGCAAACACGAATAGCCATTACCCGATTAAGTTGTTACAATTAAGATTTCGTTTTATTTCTAATTCGCAGAGTTATCCGAAGTACTATGGAACATGGTGCTTAAGTTCGGCCTAGCGAATCACGACTACGTAGGCGCCGTAAAGTTGTACGTGGCGTTCTTGTTCTGGGCGCTATTTACGCTGGCCATCCTCGTCATGATGGAAGGTTTATCCGCTTTCCTGCATACCCTGCGTTTGCATTGGTAAGATATGTTTATTGATGTGTAACATCTTTCCTCTCGCTTTTGTGCAATTTGTGGGAGTGATTAAGTGAAGTAGGACGGAAGTGTGTAACAGTAAGTCAGGGAAGCGCGCGCTATTCGATTTGATTTTAGAACATAATGTTCAAATGGCTTATTCCATTAATAGTAGGTTTTATTTCTTTTTTTACTAACATAAGGTGAGGTTATAGTCCGGTCAAATTAGCTTCAAAAATAGGGGTAAGGTTACATTAATTCACACCTTGCTAAAAATTGGCATGAATGTTGGGAACCCTATTACACACAATTTGTCAATTATCCACATGAATCCAACGTGTGGAAAAAAAATATTCAAGGTCAAATGTTGCAAAAATCGGTTTTTTGAGTTTTCCAGCTAAACGGTAAGTTTTATTATAAAAATAGGTGAGACAAAAATTATTCATCATGCAATTATGTATAAAAATTGTACATACACTTTTTTTCCTAAGAATCACCATTTCGGTGATATAGCGATGCAAAATGTTGAAAAAGTTGTATTCTTCATAATATGTATGTCAATTACCGTTATATACGTTTCAGAACGATAATATAAGTTAAAAATAAAATTGTTTGAGAGACAAGATTTAGTTCATTGTGCTGACGTTTTCAAAGTTCTACTCATGATTTACTTATAACCAATTTGAAAATATACTTATTAATAATATAAGTTCATTTGATATCTATACCTGTAGGCCTCTCATACTCACTTCATTTAGCGTTTGGTACCGTACACCGTACCAATACCATCACCACGTGCATTTATTGACTTAAAAAGTAGGAGGTTCTCAACTTGTACATGTACACCGAATAAGCCTAGATTTCTGATCCAATTTACGTGAATGCTTTTTTATTTGACGCAAAATAGTTACCATTTGATACCGTAAAAAATTGATTCAGTTTAGACTTCTAAAATTCTGGTGAAAATTTCTTCTTCTAAATTGTGGTTCTTTTACCAGGGTGGAGTTCATGAGCAAGTTCTACACCGGTCTGGGCTACATATTCCAGCCGTTCTGCTTCAAGACGATCCTCGAACAAGAGGATAGAGAAGATTAGATTATATGATTAAAACAAACAGTGAAACGTAGTCTAGTGAAACAGTATTGATTAATTGTTGCTTGCGCAAGTCGCAACGGTCACAAATGTGTTGAAATAAAATATTTATGCATGTTGCAATTTATCGTTTTATTGTTATCACAATTATTTTATTCGAAAGAAATTAATTCATTTATTTCTTAAATATAAGATATATAAGCAAAATGAAAATACACTTTTTTCAGGCCATAGATTATGTACAGTTCATTTGAAAAGTGTGAAAACAAGACATTGGTGTTAAAGCTTAAGTGGCTTAATATAATCTAGCTAAGGGCAATATTTGTGACTTCCTGTAAAATTTTCCATTAATTGTTTTTATTGCATGTTGTTTTGTTATTGAAAGTCAAGCTCACTTTAACTATCCTCACAGAGGACATAATTTTGTCACACTTTGTGTTTCAATAGGATACTTTATCTGCGTTTCAATGGCGATCCGTTTCAGTTTCTTCAGAATACTTTGAACAGGAACAATCGTATATTTATTTCTATTTGTTATCAGCTTTATATAAAAAAGATGATGTAACTTCAATGTATTTCGGGATAATGTCTGTTTCATTGATTTTTGAGATACATTACTGCATAATATTCACACCACATAAATGTGCCGAAAACTTGATCCAAAATTTTCACAATACAAAATTAAGTCCTCAAATTGGTTTTAGCCTTTTCTAAGATCTCCTTCTTGATCTTCGGATAGTCCGGATGGACTTTCAAAATATGCCTGGAGACTACTATACATTCTGGGTACTTCTTGAGCTTCAGGTAGGAATGTGCGAGTTTGTAGCCAACGGCGAGATCCGTCTTGCCACCGTGCTGCCAAGCGCTGTCGTAGTTTTGCGCGGCACTTTTGTAGTTTTGTTCCTTTTCTGATAAGTAGCCTAATTGGAGAAAGATAAATGGCGATTAGACGACTATGAGCCTAACTTATAATAGTTGTTTCGAGTCAAGATCGAATGCGATCAACTGTCTGACTATAGCACGATAGTATGGAAAGCTGTATCGAAGGTAAATGGCTACACTTGACAGCAAAAAAAGATATAACCGTCACATTTATTGCAAACGGTACACTGAAAAAAGTAATTTACAAAACTAGCCAAACTTTGTTTACTAATAAATAAATTTCAGTTACTCATAGACCAACCGTTCTGTTGCATTTTACATTATCATTTCAGTTAATCGAGTTTAGTTAAAAACTAACTATTTTGTAATAAGCTGTCAAATTCGATTTCGATAATCTGTAACATAACAATGGTGCCAATTCTGGCGTGATTCCTTAAACTTAAAACTAAATTTAACATCAATCTCTCCTTTTCGTTCTGTATAGGGAATGACAAGGCTATACTGCTGTCAAATTTAAGTTTAGGTTTAGAGAATCATGCTAGAATCGACACCAATGTATTGTTATAATCAAATACACTTGATGTGATTATTTACGTTAAGTTGGCCTAACTACAACTATTTAGTGCTAATAATTAATTAGCAAGCACAAAAATCGCAATGAATAACTGAGAAGTGTTGTAACTGTTAGCCAAAAAGTTCGGTTACAGAATGCAAGTACGTTTTTTGTTAAATGTTTGGAACGTCCGCTAAATCGCGCTAACCAGATTGTTTTGTGCATACTTAAAAGGTGTTTTTAAAGGACAATGGGCAAAACGCACCCAGCTCCGCCAACAATGTAATTAGTATGAATAGATAGATCTATGAAAAACTAGCCTTTTTTATTATGACACCATAAAAAATATCCTGGAGGTCAAAAGATATACACATTGGCATGTTCTATATTAGGGGTTAAGGTTTCCGCACATAGTCCTTAAAGAGGACCATCGTGTATTAGTCATGGCGGCCGGTTGCACACATGGGCATATTTAAATAGCTAAATAAATTCATTCAAAATCAATAGTACTTTCGTTTTATAATATTACCCATAATAATGTGAGTCATATCTTACTATACAACCAGATACCAAATACTATACAACAAAGCCTACCGACCATTCTGCTTGCTTGCTGCTTGCACTTACTGAGACGCCACAAAACGTTTAACAGCGTAAGGGTATGGGGGTTGAAGGATGTGATATTTGCAGTTGCCGTTCCAACTAGTCTACTCGTATGCAGTCCTATGTCTTTCTTTTTGTGCGCTCCCTTTTACTTCATTGATATTTAACTAACACGCTTTGGAAATAGGAACACGATTATCATCACGTACGTCATCATAATTGTACGAGCCAATAAAAAAAATCTACGGACCTATTTAAATGCTCCTTCTTTTACTTGAATGAAAAAACCGTGCTAGCCACAAAAATCTGTGGCTTTTGCGAGCAAAAATAGATTGGAGGCATACGAGGTCTAAGCTCAATTACTCCTATATATTGATAAATGAAGACGAGAATGGAATAAATGCATTAAAACATTATTACTCTCTTCTTAGACACTGTGGATGAAGATTATTAAAAATATTTGAAATGCAATGTTTCATAAACGTAGTGTGGGCCGCCCTGAGACAAGATGGGATGATGACATTCGTAGGCTGGCTGGCGTGAGCTGGATGAGAGTGGCAGAAAATCGGGAGCAGTGGCGTGCATTAGGGGAGACCTATGTCCAGCAGTGGACGAGCATGGGTCGATGATGAGGATAAATGTTTCATAATTAATTCCTTTTTTTACACTCACTGATTAGCCTTGTCCCAAAGTAAGCACTGTGAGGCTTGTGTTATGGGATGATAGGGTAAAGGATAGAATACATATACCTTACATATATAAGTATATTGATATAGAAATACATATTAAACATCCATGACTGGAGTACAAATGCTCGTACTCATCACACAAACATCTGGCCCCACCAGGATTTGAATCCGAGACCTCTCGAGTCGGCGACACCATGAAATCCATTACAAACCACTCGACCACGGAGGTCGTCAAATAATAAATAATGTCCTATATAATGGTCCTTGTATCATTAATATATATTATGTTCGTTATAGTTACGTTTACCTATGAACTTGTACCTATTTAACTTAAAATAAGTAAAGATCCCTGGGATGGAATTTGATGCGCTTTGGTACAGATGATCATGACTATAATACCTTTCAAACAAATGTAGTTTAAGCCGTGGCGGACGTGGGTGCAACGTCCATACAATTTTGCCTATTGTCCTTTTTATTTGTAAATAAATTGGGAACCAGGGTGTTATTATGATTACACCAATCCCCTGTTAACTCCCAGTATTTACTTGTTAGTAAGTAGTACGTACAGGGTTTTAAAGCATAAAAAGTACTTTTTGCAAGTATTATAATAAGAAACAGCTATAGTTTATCAGAAAACTATGTTGCAGATAACAAAATAGTTCGGTTAAAAACAGTATAGTGAAGCTATACTGAAGCAATCCTTTTTCAACCAATTACTGAACAAAGTATAAGAATTTACAGAACATTTTAGTACATTTTGTTAAACAACAAAACCGAGTTTATCTACCAGTAACTATAGTTATGTAGTCACTATTTTTATGTAATAGATAACAAAATTTTTGGTTATAAGTAACTCAAAACATTTTTCAGTGTAATGTATAGCAAAGACGGAAAAGATATAAACAAAATTAACGGGCACGAGGTAAGTAAAAATCGTAAATTATAACTTTTACTGGATCTATCTTATACGTATACTGCTTGATGTTATAAAATTAACTTCGAAAATTAAAAAAGACAGCTAAGGCTAAGTATTTCCCACTTTTTAAAATGTACAAGAGACAGTTTCTTTACAAGTTATTAGCTCATAGGCTTCCATAGTTTCCGAAAATGCCCCGTACCTTGACAGATTTTACTTTCTGCCTGTAAAATTATTAGATGGCACATTCTGGTATTCTTTTCCTCCCAGATTCATCAGAACCATTTATTAACTTTTCTTTCCCTTCCACTTCAGTATGATACCTTTTTCAAGTTAAAAGGATGGCAAACAAGTTTATGGCCCGCCTGATGGTAATCAGCAACCATAGCCTTTAGTAGACGCTTGCGATGCAAAAAATATCACTCGCGCCATTGCCTACCCTGACCCAATCCACTAGCCCGTGGAGCTTTGGAACCTTACTTACAGACAGAAACAAGTAAGTACATTCGCACGAAGCGATTTGCTTCCGCTTTCATTATGCGAACGGCTAGGAAGTGGAACTCCTTGCCGAGGTCTGTTTTCCCGGACCAATATAAGCTTCAAGGCCAGAGTGAACAGACATCTTCGAGGCAGGCGTGTACTATTCTAAGCCTCGTCATCGCTTTCCATCAGGCGAGATTGTGATCAAACGTCTTGCCTATTAAGCATTAAAAAGATGTTGAGGATACTTCCCCAGACGGGCGCTCCAATCCCGAAACCCCGGGAAAACCCGCTATGACCTCTCCTAAAACGTACGTGCATACGTTTTTTTTAACTTACCCAAGTATTGATAGGCTGCAGCACAAGAGTTATTGTGATGGAGTATTTTCGCCAACAGTTCTCTCGCCGCTTCCGTTCTACCTGAACTTACTTGACTTTCAGCGACTTCCAGCCAGCATCTATTGAAATAAGATGAAAATGGCAGAACCATACTTCAATTTTATAATATCCTTTGCATGCTCTATAGAGAACGTAAAGGATAGACAGCTGTTTGATTTACTTTTAAGTTTGTAAAATTATGCCAAAATCAGGCCCGATATAAAAGTTTCATACTTGATTCTTTTGTGAACAATATTCTTAGAAGCCAGGTTCTGCAGAATCAGACAGAGCGTAAGTGATGTTTTGTAAAAGTGACAGATTGCGAAAGGCGTGCGTTGAACTCTAATAAAGGTAATAAAGACTGGGTATGAAACAAACGAAAAGAAGACTAATACATTTTCCAAAATAAGTAACTTCGTATTTAGTGATTAGTTGTTAAAATAGTATTTTGAAACTTACCGTTCCAAACCTTCAGCGTTTTCTGGCGACCAAGGTATCGACGAAATAGTACGTTTCAAAACATTTTTCGCCCGGGTTGGTTGTTTGATAATGTTATACCTATAATAAAAACCACAGAGATTGTACATAAAGAGACTTTCTTCGCAAATCTTATAAAAATGCTGGACTCGGAATGAAGCGAATAAAACAGGAATTTTTATCCCTCCCACTTTTACAAACCACACGGGCCAATTGGCCATACTGCTATAGTCTGTCAACCCTCCGTGAAAGGTGATATTAAGGAAGGAAAGAGTTAGTTCTGAGTCCAGATTACAGCTGATTGCAGAGATGAAAGAAAAAAAATATACTACGCTGACCCCAAATTGCCATGTTTAATTTTTTTGCCAAGGTAAACTATACTATCCCTAGATATCTCACGTTCTTTCAAAATGGATAACTTATCCATTTGACAAAATAAACGATTTCCCTAGCAAATTATTTTTATAATCGTAGATTTATAAAAAAAAAATAACTTTAATAGATTCTACCTACAATGTTCAACGAGGTCCAGCATTCATTAGTTCGAACACCATAATGTTGTTCCACTATTTATAAGTATACCATAACATTAATCTATTTAGATGCATCAGCCACTCGGAACTAGGTTAACTTACGCGTTTGCTATAGTAAGTACCAAATAAGAGTCATCCTGGTACGTCTCTTCTGTCGTTAGAGGCAGTAAATCTTGCAGCACTCGTTTTGCCAGCTGCTTCTGTTTGGTAACCAGTTGGAACATTAATCTACTTATACCTATGCATTAGTCACTTGACTAAATTTACTTACGTGTCAGCTATACCAAGTATCAAGTAGGGGTCATCCTGATACGTCTCTTCTGTCGCTTCAGAGGCAGTAAGTCTTGTAGCACTCGTTCCGCTTGCTGCTTCTGTTTGGTAGCCAGTTGGAACATTAATCTACTTATACCTATGCATTAGTCACTTGACTAAATTTACTTACGCGTTAGCTATAGCAAGTATCAGGTAGGGGTCGTCCTGGTAAGTCTCTTCTGTCGCTAGAGGCAGCAAGTCTTGCAGCACTCGTTCTGCCTGCTGCTTCAGTTTGGTAGCGAGTTGGAGTAACGCTTGAAGAGATTTCCTTTCAGCTGGAGTCACTTCTACTAGGAGTTTCTCTGCCGTCCTTAGCGCTAACATACGCGTGTCACTGTGAGATTGTAATCACTGTTTCATTGATCTGTGTACGTAGATGTAACGAAATCCGCACTTTGTAATATCGTCTTCAGTGAGTCGGTTTGGAACTTAAACTATCTTTAAGACTTACAGCCGCACTCAAAAAAGTCAATTAACTTTTAAGTTTGATTAAAGTTGGTGCATACACTCTCTTGCTCTAAATCTTAGGCTAGTTACGCCGTGTCTTGTTCATGTCACTCAAATGTCATTTGTAATTAAATAAACAGAGACAAAACATGGAGCAAGAAATTCAAGCTTATTCTTCGTTTATTAGCATGGGGCTTGAGTAGAATAATAAAATACGTGACTCAATAAAGCATTACCTAAAAGAACGTCAAATAAAATTTTGACGTTTTTAAGTACGGTTAGTATCACCCTCATTATCAGCCTATCAATGTCCCCAGTGCTGGGGCACAGGTTTTCTTATGGTTGGAATAGAGAGAACGATCCATTTCACATCACGCGGAGATAAGATAAAATTAAGTTTTGTTACCTATTCTTACGAACATCACTCTGAAATGAATTTAGACAAGAGGAATAGGCGAAAGAGACTGCTTCGCAATAAAGGTCTCTTAATTGTAATGTATCACTAACATAATTAAATATTGTACTGTAATCGAGTTACAGAAAATTTCTAATCTCGTTTGTATTTTAGAAAATTTGAAATGCTCCAAAGGGCAGGATAGAGTAATATCAAGAATTAAGCAGTAAGGGCGACAGCTATCTCGGGCGTTTTTTTTCAGATACCAGAGGGTGTCCGCGACTTTGTCTGCGTGGAAATATTAGTTTTCCATGCAAACTTGGAACCCAAACATCATAATAGCTGTTTGTGTGCTAGATATCAGTGCAATCAGCGGTTTGGGCTGGCTGTTGATAGATCAGTCAGTAACGGTTGCCTTTTATATATTACAGAAGATTTTATTATTTATTAGTTTATTGTTTAATATAGATACATTATATGACAAAGATGCAATTCATTTAATAAATTTGGGATTTAGCTAATAAATACTTCTTATTTTCTATGACACGCAAATTGTGTGATCGGTTATATGTAGTTACATTAGCAGCACAATTTAATACAGTTAGGAGAGAAAATTTTATGTGATCATAAATATTCATTATTTTGCACTGTTTAAACAAAACCAACATCATTGTCATTGTATTTACGTTTTTAAAAAAAGATATTGAATCCCAACCTTATAACTTTTGTGGAGTGTATCTACATCTATACATATAATAAAATGGTAGGAAAGTCAATACTGTACATTGAATATTTTTTTTTAAAGAATACTTGGGGTGTGATCTGCAATCGATACCGAAGCCAAAAATATAGTTTTTAGAATTTTTGTCTGTTTGTCTGTATGTATGTCCGGGATAAACTCAAAAAGTACTGCATGGATTTACTTCAAATTTGGGACGAATATTATTAACAAGTCGGGTCAACATATAGGCTACATATTATCACGCTATCACCTACGGGGAACGAGCAGTGAATCTTTATTTCTAACTAACTCCACGCGTACAAGAGCGGGCGGCCGCTGGTAATTAAATAAACATCTACTTACGACTCCTCGTTAGCATTTGCGAAGGTTTCAGCCAAACTGTCAGGGGCGTGGTGCGACAGGCATAGAAGGACCATTTTCCTCGCCGCACTCTGTCCGAAGCTCGGTGAACGTCGCGCGTGATTCAACTGCCTCAATGCGGCATTAGCTTTGCCGCTGTACAGGGAACTCAGTCCCACACAGTAATAGTATCCTACGAAGGTATTTTTAATGCAATTAATTTAAATTTTATGTCATAACTAGCTGTCCCAGCGAACTTTGTACCGCCATAACAAAAATAGGGGTTGGTGGTAGAAGGGTTAAAGGCCAATGCACCCTTTTGGCATTGTTATTTTTTTTTATTCGCCGGAAATGAAACTTAGACCTTATATAGAGGACTATAATAGAAGTTTGAAGAAGAAGGAAGGAGGTCTCCAAACCATAAGCTAGCCGAAATAACATTTATGATGATTGTTGCTGTTAGTTTTTTATCAGGCGTTTTTTAATATTTAATAAGACATGGAAATGTTATAAATAATATCAAAACAATTTAATAAATAACTCTAGTAAGGAACTTGATAAGCAAGAGTCATGGGGGCCAATTCTACTAATGTTAAGTCATAATGGTGTATCAGTGGTGTTTCCATGGTACCTAATGTTTTTAAGTCCTAGTAACAAGAACCGTGAATAGGTGCGTAAGTACTATTGAGACAACATTATGATTTAACGTTAGCAGAATTGGTCTCCTAAGCGTGCAGCCGTGTGGTATGACCTAGCCAAAATAATAAATTAATTGTTGTTAGTTTTCTATCAGGCATTTAAACAAAAAACGTAAAATGTAATAATAAATAATATGACAGCAGTGGGCGCTCTGCGGCTGCTATGATGATGATGTCTTAAAATAATAATAATTTCGCTAGATGGCTGGATCAAGGGTCAATTAAGTACAGAAGGCAGTCCTCGGGCACGGCACGCATTGCGAGAAGATTCCTCGCTCTACAACCCTAACAACCGCAAACTTGGGCCTTACTCCGGTGCGGGAGGCATACTAGGTTGTTTTTATAAATTTTTTGTATTTTACTTTTTATAACTGTATTATAAAAATCTGGACGTAAGGATAAAAGTAAATAGGTGTTTGAGGAATATTTTAGTGCAAAGAAATAGACAAAAGTATTTAGTTAAATCTGTTTGATTAATCAGTACATAAGTTACTTATTGCTACTACTCGCTTACAATGTCAACTTCATTTTCCACGTCGTGTCTGACTATATAATTCAGAAATTCGGCTGGAGGGGTCAAGTTTTCTTGATGTCTTCCCCAGCCCATGAAATAAAGTACAGACATGACGTGGGCGCAGCAACCTAAAGTCCTCATTCCTGCAGTACACGAACAATATTGCCCTTTTATGGCCATTATGTCTTCATTAACACCGTCTATTAGTATGTACTTTGTTGCCTATGTCGTGACTGAATGCGACTTCGGAGCAGCCACGGGTTCACAACATCAATGCCGAACATTTTTAGATCCGTAATATCCAGTCTGTCCTCCCTATATACTTCAATGACGTACGAACCATCGTCCCTCACATGTTCGCTGTAATAACTTCGGGCCTGGCTTATTTGATACGTTCCCACCGCGTGAATTATTAAATCATTTATATCAACTCTGGGGAAGTTGACAAGACTAGACACGGTGGCAGTCATTGACACGAAATTGGCTCTTATTTGGTTTAGGTTTCTGTTAACTACATACTCGCCTAAGTTGTTGTTTTCAGGAGTAGCGTTTAATTTGTTAATCATCGATTCTACCAACGGATGATCATTCAGTGGTTTCCCGAACGCATTTATTAACGCACCTGCTATTTTAAATTCCTCGTACATGTGGCTCGCAGCTCTGTTAAAAAATACGGACCTGAGTTGTCGAAACTGGTTTTTAAACCGTCCGTTTACTGTTTCGATAACCCATTTGCATAGAGTCACTCTTCTTGACGAATTCGCCTGACGAGTAGTCAGTTGTGAATGACCTCTACTTTAAGTAATGGGCATATAAGCGCGATAGTTCATGCCCCTTAGATCATCTATCACGTCGCGGAACCCCCTATCCAGTATAAAAATGTCTCCTTGATTAAAGAAATAATGAAACGGGTCATCTAAATTATCACATATACAAACAAAAAAACGCCTAAACAAAAAAAATAGCAATAACTTTAACCCATTATAAGTCGGCTACCTTATGGTTTAGAGACCTAGTTTATCCTTCTTCAAACTTCTATTATAGTCCTTTATATAACGTATAAATTTCATTACTGGCGAATAGAAAAAAAACAACAATGCCAAGTGTCTATTGGAAAGGTGCATTCCCCTTTAGGGTTGTATGTATTTTTGTATGATGTATCATGAAAAATAAACAAAAAATTTGTAAATTATAAAAATGGTAGAACACATTTAGGGGGATGAAAAATAGATGTTGTCCGATTCTCAGACCTACTGAATATGCATATAAAATTTCATGAAAATCGAGTCGAGCCGTTTCGGAGGAGTTCAATTACGGACACCGTGACACGAGAATTTTATATATTAGATTTAAATAGTGGTGATGGTGATGACGGGTTAAAATAAACGGAATTCTATTTAGTCCGTCAGTTAGATACTTAAAACAAGGACGTTATTTTTTTACATAACCACAAAATTACAAAGTAGCGCTTTCAAGTTTGGAATGCGGGGCTCGTGACGTGACTTCTGAGTAAAAATGGTGCCCAGACGTGCCGCCATGCGACATTTCAAATTATTCACAGTTAATACTAGTACAGCCGTCAACGAACCTCTTATATGTGAATTATATATAAGATTTAATAACTCTAAATAGTATATAAGAGCAATTGTAACTTTTAAGATAAATAAACCATTATTATTATTAATTTTATGTGCTAAAAGAAAAAAAAATAGTATCCCGGAGTTTTGATGTTTGATAAGTTTTGATTATGTGAAAGAAAAATAAACAGTTCCGGTGGCAAATGGGAATGAAGTCATTACCCCCACTTCAGATTTTTTTAAGTTCTCATAAGGCCTCCGGGGGCGACTGAGAATAAAGGGTAGCAATCTGCCCGAAGCGCGAAGAATGTCGCGCGTGATTCAACTGCCTCAATGCGGTATTAGCTTTGCCATCAGGGAACTCAGTTCTTCACAGTAGTAGTAGAAGGTCATTATCACACTAATATTATGAAGGCGAAAGTTTGTGAGTGTGTATGTTTGTTACTTCTTCACGTCTAAACGGCTGGAGCGATTTTAGTAAATTAGGTTTTGGATTTAGCTGACTCCCTGGATTAACACATAGTGTCGAGTGGCGACAAAATAAAAAGAAAGAAAACAGGTAGAGATTATAAAATATATATATTTACAAGAATAAGAAGAATTTACAGGTTAAAAAAAAGAATAGGGGTATGGTATGTGTGTGTAGTGTGGGGTGTGAAATGGAAGTGATGAAGTGGGCGATCTTCAGGGGCGGCTTGAACGGTAGGTCGTTGTAACGTCCGTGATGTTACAACCTCCTTGTTTAGGTAAACTCTTTGCTTTTGCAATGCCTACGGTTGGCAGTTATATTAAAAAGTTAATGTCATGATTTTAAGATTTGAAATAAGGAATCGTCTGTCTTTTGATAGAAGGTTCCATTCATGATTAGATCTTCAGGCACCAAGAAAACCTCTCGTATTTTGATAAAATTCTTTATATTAGCCTGAATGAAATAAATAACTTATCTCTACCAGTATCTTTTAATTAATAAGCACGTCCCCAGGTTCTATCCATTCTGGGTAGAACACCATATGGTGGGCGCGCCGCGTTGATTCTAGTACCGCGAGTGAAGAATATTTTTAAATCAAGAAAGAAATAGTTTTAAAAGATGGAGACCAGGACCACATTCGACGGAAAAGGTGATGTAACCGATTTCTTTCGTCAATTTAATATCATCGCCGCCATCAATAATTTCAACGATGATACAAAAAGAGTTGTGTTGTCGGCATATTTAAGTGGACCTGCATTGTTGTTCTATAAAAAAATTAATAAGTCTTGTGAGAATTTTCAGATTCTAGAAAAGAAAATTTGTGAGGAATTTCCATCATCGATAAATGCGTTGGAAAAATTTTTTCTCACGAAGACAAGGCTTGTTAGAAGAGCCATTGACCTTTTTTTATGTATTGGATGAGCTGGCCACAAAAGCGGGAGCTGTCATCGATGACAAATGCTTCATTAGACAGTTCTTGAAAAATGCGAATTTAAATACGAAAAATCTTTTCGCATTTCAATTATATGATAATAAAGTGCATTTAAAGGAAGTTTTACGACAAGCGCAGGACATTTTTGAGGACGAAAGCGTCGAAATTAGTTCGAATCTGCCGTTCCAACCATCGTTTGCTCACTTCGAGGCGACGAAAATTTCGCATATAATAAGGCATGAAGAAGAACCGGAGAAGGAAATCAACGTTATTTCCTCCCAAAGTGTCCCTTCTCATCCCATTGTCCCTCCCGAACATTTGATTCCCCGCACTTTTTGTTCCAGCAACATGAACAAAAAGAAAAAACTAAAGAAGAAGAAGCATCCAAAGAGAAAACTATACGAAGAAAATTTAATGACGATGGCTGATGAAGAAGTTCAACATTCACAGCCGTTACAAAACTGCAATCAATATACAAGTGAGTCCAAACCATTAATTAATATAACGTGTCGTGATAAGGAGATTGTAGGGCTCATTGATAGTGGTGCTGCAGTGTCTGTGGTGTCAAAGGACACAGTTAATAGAATTCATCAACGAATTGATGAAAGCGATACGAAGTTGAAAGCCGTCGATGGTAAAGAATTGTCTGTTATAGGGAAAATTAACCTAAAATTATTGATAGACAATGCGTTATTCATTCACGATTTTCTTGTGGTAGAGAATATTAGGCATAACCTCATCTTAGGACAGGATTTCTTACTTCGAAATAATGCGATAGTAGACTTTTATAATGAACAATTAGTAATCAAACATATTAAGTGCAAGTTTAAAAGACAATATACACAAAAGAATAATGAAAGGAATAGTGATAATTCGGTGTATGATGAAAATTTATATTATGCCGAATAGGTTGATAGTACAATAATAATAATGTGTTACTAATGAGATTTTATTTCAGTTTATTGTTTATATGAATGTTTTAAAGCAATGGTGGTATGTAAATA